GGGACGAGGCGGCGCTGGCCACGCCCTATGGCGAGCCCGCGCCGGTGGATGTCACCGCGAGCTACCGCACGTTCTGCGGCACCTGAGGGCGTCAGGCCGCCACCCGCTCCGGCACCAGCGCGTCCAGCACCGTCGGGTGGGAGAGCACACCGACATGCCCGGCCCCGGCGGCCGGCACACAGCGCACCTGGGCCGACGCTTTCGCCAAGCGCCGCGAATGCTTCATCGGCGCGATGAAGTCGGCCGGGTCCTGCACGATCGTCGTGGGCACGGTGAGGCGGCGGGCGAGGGTCTCGATGGCCATGTCCGGAAAGTCCATCGGCGAAGGTCCGTGCAATGCCTGCATGGCCTGTTGCATGTCCGGGCGATGGCGGCTGCTCAGGCCGTGCAGCTTGAGCCAGGCGTCCAGCAGCTCCGGCGTGTCGATGAACGGCGCCAGCAGCAGCAGGCGCTGCGGCGTCACGCCGAGGCGCGTGCAGGCCATCAGCCACGCCCCGCCGCCCAGCGAATGCCCGACACCGAGTTCGATGCCAATGCCTTGCCCGGCCAGATGCTGCGTGACGTCTCGCACCGCTTCGGCAAACCGGGGCAGGCCCGACACGCGGCCCTCGCTGGCACCGTGAGCGGCATGGTCCATCGCATGCACGGTGTAGCCCAGCGCCAGCAGCCGCTCGATGACCAGCGCATAGCTCAGCGCGTAACTCTCCCAACCGTGGCTCAGCAGCGCATGACGCGCCGGCGTGGCCTTGCCCCGGGGAGGCGTCCAACGGTAGAGCTGCAGGCGCTCGGCGCCGTCGCGGGCGGGCGTGGCGAGCGTCTCGGTGTGCATCCGCTCGAACAGCGACTCCACGCGCGACGGCAGGTCGCCCTGCACCGCCAGGCGCGAGGCCCAGTCCGGCGCAAACCGTTGCAGATCGGCCATCACGGCGGACGCACTGACGGGCTTGTCGCGGCGCGTGGGCGTCATGAAGCGCTGGGCCAGCAACGCCGGCTGCCGGGCCGAGGGCGTCAGCGCGACCTGGAGGCGAAAGCGCGCCATGTCGGCCAGTGCCCGGGCGGCGCCGGGGAGGGAGGGCTTCAGAAGTTCGAGCATGACATCGCCCAGATGGTTCAATTACGAACCAATTGTGCCGCAGCGCCGCCAAGTCAGTTCAAAATAGAACCATCCCCGAGCCGCTTGTGCGGCCTTTGACACGCCCGCGTGCCGCCTCGCGCGGTCTCGCACCGAACCCTCACCGTCCTCGCCCGCCATGCCGCCCCGCAAGCCCTCCAGCGATGAAGTCGATGCCTGGCACGGCGTCGTTCGCAGTTACCACCGCGTCGAAGCGGCGCTGCAGGCGCGCCTGGCCACGCTGGCCTTGAACGTGACCACGCACGAAGTTCTGCAGCACCTGTTGCACACGCCCGCGCTGAGCCAGCAGCAGCTGGCCGCACGGGTGTTCACCGTGAAGAGCCACCTCAGCGCG